AGTTCCAAATGGGGTCACCTTAATAGAAGCTTACTCTTCCCACTACGTTAACTGCACTACCATCTGGATTTCTAGCCAGTAGAATGACTCAATGCATAGACAGTTACGCAAATGGGTTAGCTGAATGTGGCTAGGTTCTTTTGAAGGGTTTCCAGCACCTCTGAAACAGTTTCAGTTTCAAAATTATCTGTGCTTATCACACCTCATTTCAAAATATTCTTCCTTTTCAGTATGGTGACGGAACCACGACGAAGTGAGGTGCGCGTACGATGGCGTACAGCTTTGTTACCCATGCGGCGTTCGGTTACCGATGGACAGTGAGCTTTTACTAATATGGGGTTGCAAATAAGTTCTCAGTGTACTAGGCGGGGTGGAAGTAAATGATACATTTTTTGAGGAAAAAATATTTTGCGTTTTCCTGTTATGATTATTTGCAGATGGGTGACTGGACCAATCTATCGCGATTCTGTGAAAACGAAATTTGGAAGGACATCTCGTGCTACCGTTACTGTGCCCGTTGTAGATAATATGCCAGTGGTCAGTTTTTTTGGTAATTCATTTCCTACTTTACTCTAAACTGTAGCTTTAGTCAAATTTTACCATTTCTCAGGCATACCCTAATAAAGTTTCAATTTTCTTCATGGGGAATCCACCCGCTTTAATGAGGGCTTTTTCAGCGAGTTTTGAAGACAACTTACGATGGAGGAACGGATTTGATCCACCTGCTCACTCTATATGATATTGCAAATATGGACAGTTGTACTTCTGTTGGCGCTGAACCGGATCCAGATTGGATATCGCTTGTTATTAGTATTCGAGGTGTTACTGGAGAAATCTACAAAATAACTCCCGTGAGAAGCCTCGATGTGGTGAGCACTTCATTTTATCCTGACCGTTCTATTTAAAGCAGCAGCTACGTTGACCAGAGATTGTATTCTATTCTTATAATGGTTATGATTTTATTGTATTGCTCCATATCCTGTCGCATATTCAATGCGACTAATCTAGCTTCAAATTGCGCGAACAATCGTCGACCATCCTTGACTGCTGTCCCGACCTTTTGGAGTGAAGTGTGACATTCCTCCTTCGAATGCAGCCAAAATTTCCATTAAAAGCACTCAGAACCCTTGCTGAATAGTTTGACCATCACATACTTGACGGTTGCTGGAGTATGGGGTGACCGTTTTATGTTGGAATCTTTTCCTACGCGGCTTTATTAGCCGGTCGACTAAACGCCTTTCGTTTTGTTCAAAGAGTTTTTTGTTAGCCTTGTTCTCAATATTAAAACAAGCGCAGACACCCTCCCACATAGGCCATAGACTGTCAACAGCGGAAGCACCGGAAGTCCGACTGTCAAAGCTAGGGCATCCTGTCGCGCATGAACGGGACATATTCCACCTTTGTGAATAGCTTGATCCAATTCGCGAAGATATCGTCCACCTGAAGTCATCGTGAAGTGTTCCTTTAAGCTCTCACAGTACTAATTTGTTGTAAAATTTCTATTAGCAGAAGTTCACTAACTAAAACGCGTAAATATTACCTGCTCCTCTTGTAAACCCCCTGTGACAGATTTTGGTTCACAGGACTGGAACATCATTAACATTATCTATATAGAGAACTATGAAACATGACTATGGCTCGTAGTAATTTGCGAGCATATATGGAAGTTTTTCCCTTTTATTGTGGCTTTGTAAACCCTAGGTTCCAGGACACAATGAGAAAAGTGGATCTTGTGGCTGAAGACGAAATTATGGTACTAATTTGTTATGATGGGAAAAACACCATTGCTGAGATGTATCGATTGACTGAAGAAGACGCCAAGAAGTGGCATCCAGAAGTCCCCACGGTGAGATTTTTTGGTAATACTGATTTCGCGCGAGTAGTGAGTTTGACCAGTAGATTCGCGCTTATTGACGCTCAAAGTTTTTCGCAAAAAAACTTTGTGTAATCGTCCGTTCAGGGGTTTATGTCGGTCCGTAGTACCCTAGCGCCAAAAATAAATGCCGTGCTTCTTCAAAAAAACCACCAAATATGACCGCAGTACGAGTTCCAGGCAAAAAGGATTCTCAAGGCGAGTTGATAGTGGAGCAGATGCCCTCAACATTCCGAACTCAGTCTACCCCGAATAAGGAAGACGATTCAAGTCGATTTTATCAACGAGGAAATGTTAAGTTTTTGAATTAGGAGGAGATAGGTTTTTCTTTAGATAAAAGAAACGGTCGAGATGGTCGAGTTTATTGTATATTTTCCGAAGCAACACGTGAGAGCTGGCGAAAATCGGGATGCGCAATTTCTTTACCCCAGCAAATCTGGAAACTTTTTGAGAAACATATAGAATTTCTTTCTGGAATGAAAATCAGTGTTTTTCGGAAGTGTGAAGGGTCCGGGGCCAGCGTCAACTGGTAAAACTATTACATTCTCAAGCAATATGTCAGTGAAAGTTAGTTTCAGTAATAGTAGACGACAAACCGTGCCGCATTATCAATATCTCTGTGGTGTGATATAGTGTTATTATCTGTTGGAACAGCGCGTTAGAACCCTCCTATTTAGTGAGAATTAAGGTGCTAAGTGAGTTGAGGGGTCCAGACCGCCGTGGCGCGTGGCATGTTCGCGACCTTTGCCAGATGGTGTCAACTCGCGAATTTCAGCTTCTCACGCATGTTCAATGGCTCCCCTTCCCTCACCTCCTCAGCCCGTAAATTGACTACATTCAACCTGGTTTACGGATTCCTCGTTTTGCATCGAAGAGCGCGAACATGCTGCGCGCCACGGGGGTCACTGGTTTGCCCAACTCACTTAGCACCGATTTAACGTCATCTCCAACTATTCTTCCATTGGTGAGTGTCTGTTCACACAGGTAGAGACCGTTCCCGACTACACTCCATCAGCGCTAAGTCGCAAGCAGAGAAGGAAGCAACGAGCAGGGCGTGCGCCGGAAGTACAAAGTTTCCATATTCTTTAATTAAATTCTGTTGAATGTTTCTTTTGATAGTTTCCCCAGTGCTTAATTGATTTCTTTTTTTCTTGTCATCTTCTTAGGAGCTGTTTTTTGTTATAGTAAAATTGGATGCAAATGCTATTTCAAATAGAAAACCGTTTGTAGTAAATGGCAGTTGATCGGTCGTGCGGTCGCGGAATGCCCAGCAAACTCTCACGGTGTATGTCCTGCGATTGCAGACCTTATTGTCACTGTTCTTGACTGTTAAATTATCATTTTTGTTATTGACGGGTAGAAGAATTTGTCACGTATTTTTGTGTTGGAACAGTTTGTACATAAAATAGTATATTCATATGCAAATGTATGCTATTTTTGTACGTTAAGAGGTGATACTTTTTCCTTTGAAGGCAAGGATATGTGGACTAATGCAAAATATTTACTCCAAAGTTAAAAATCTTTGCTGAAAACCTCAGTTCTTGCAAAATTGCGAGCAGATACCATGACAAGGTACTTTTCATACGAGATGGTTGTTGATAGCGTTTTCCAAGACAAAATGACTTGTTCTGAAGTATCGAATAATTTCGGGTCTAGATATTTTTGTGGCACAGTGTGAGATGTCGGTCAGACTCTGCGATTGCATCGCGCGATGCAGTCGCTCTTGCAATGTGCACAAGCGACGGGCGATTGGCATCGCTCCAAAGTGCGAGCGACGGGAGATTTACCCGAGCGGCGCCGTGTGTATCGGTCGTCGGCGGGGGAAAATCCCCACACGTCGCTCGCACTTGGAGCGATGGCAGTTTACTTTGAGCGGCGCGTGCAGTATAATTCGCGGCCGGGTAAATCTCCGTCGCGTGTGCACCTTGCAGAGCCGCACTGCATCGCGCGATGCAATCGTAGAGTCTGACCGACATCTGATCCGGGTGGCTATCAGTAATATTGCGTCGCGGTTACGGTAACCACCATTTCTAATGGGCCCAGGGCAGGGTGAATATTGCTTGAGGATTCCTCAACGGCACGTCGAGGATTTTCGCCTGATCCTTTACGTTCTCGCGCGGATATATTCACTCTCGCCACCCGCGAGCCGTCTGTGCTCTCCGCGCGTACATTCACTATCGGCTCTACTCTCGCACAGCAGAGAGTGATGGTTGAGGTGTGTAATTGGGACTCGCGTTAGGTGATGTTGTGGCTACCTTTTTCCTGTTGACCCACTATTTCATGAGATGTCGCGTTGTCTGGGCGACAAGAGCCGTCGCACGGTAAGAAGCAGAGTCAGTGGAAGAGTCGCAGCGCGTGCTGTAGTGATTTCGCGTCAAGTTGAACAGGATGTGGTATTACACGTCCCACATCACGTACTGGAGCCGTATTCAGTCGTTTCCAGGAATGCGCACTCCATCTGATTCAATCCTCCAAGCTTTGGGGGGGGCGGGGGGGGAGAGACAAAAAGGCATAAGACCCTACTTTTGTCTCTATCTGCAGAAGATAAGGAGCAGCACGACTCCGTCAAAGGCAAAAGAAAGTGCTTCAACGGGCGGGGGTAGTCGCGCTGCGCTAATTTGTGCAGTTAGAACAGAGTATGGCCGGTCTATGACGCAACCTTTGTCTCCCGAAGTTGGCGAGCTTGAATCAGAAAGAAGGGAACGATCCCTGGGAGAAGTTTGAATATGCGACTCACTGAAAGACTTCGCGTCAGTTAATACGATCTGCACGCACGTCCTTACATCGCCGCAGCCGCGCGTGCAACTATCGCTGACTCTGCTTTTTGTGCGACGGGCTCCTGTCGGGTAACACGCGTCTGACTGTCAGAAACAAGAGTATGGCTGGGTCCTACACGACCCTTTCCTAAGAAACCACTTTCCAAGAGTGAAATAAATGATTGCGTGCCAGCGAGAAAATCCTTAAGCGTTACTGGGAAAACTCAGTACTTTTTTTGAATGATGCTATACGAGTCATAAATAAATTCAGACATTTCTCAGCACGGTGTACCTCTTTTGAGAGCCGGGAATAATTGTCAAGTGAGTTTGATTAATCGAAGAGCAAGGGCTCATCGACCCAATTTCATTGGGGTGCAGTTATGCTTTGCGACTGTCTTGGCTCCATTGTAAATGAATATACTTCCTTTTCGTTTCAAAAAGAGCGTCGGATGCAGACCATACACCGCCAGTGACGACGGCCTCCACAAAATGTGATTGTTCTCTGCCAATGAAATGATTAGCCTGTTCTAGATGTGTTTATCAGTTGTCACTAATATAAATACAACTATCATTCACCAAAAATCAGTATTTCACTATGAACCACTACTAACCAGATTTATTAGAGGCCGTCGTCACTTGTAGTGCATGGTCTGCACCCGACGCTCTTCTCGTTTTTTGAAAGGAAGCGTACCTCGCGCGATATTGCGGCCGTGCGGACATGATTGATACGTATCTTCTATACACTCGAAGTACCCTCGCCTTCAAATGACCAGAAATTGTGCAATTGCAGAAATTGACGTGGCATTGGCACACGTGGCTAAATTCTCGATGAAAAGGGACATCACGTGTGCTCAAAGATGTTCTTGAATCGATGCCACGTTAATGCCACGTCAATTTCTGCAATTGCACAATTTCTGGTCATTTGAAGGCGAGGGTACAGACTCAGTAGAAAGCAGTCGCAGAGTATGACCGCACCCTCAGCTTCTGGCGAGTTTGGTTCTGAGTCCCATCTAGGATATATCGTATCCTACAGTATTTTGATGGATGTTCTTGGCAGTCCCTTCTAGGATTAGGTTGCCTTCAGATTTGTTGAAAAGATGCAATACGAACCAAACGGTAAACGGCTGTCTACGTCACAGCAGTGAAGTGTACAAGTTTAAAGTGCATACGTGCGTGGGTGACTGACCGGTTCTACACGCGGTGCCCCTCGCCGCACGTGATTTGCGGGTGACTCACGTTGCCATGAGGACAAATGGGGTGGCCATCGGCTGCTTCGATCCGTTTTGCAAATGGTTTCCCTTCGAATTCTACTCGTATTCTTTGAAAAAGTAGTTTATCTCTGATGGTGACGCTTTGGAGTTTGTTTACGCCCAGGGATATGTTTGTGTCTAAGACCTGCTCTAGCGGCACAATCTCTCTTTCTGCGTTTTTATTTTCGCAGAACTCTGGTCTCTGAGCACGACATATTGATCCACCATTGTTCTTATTATCGTTATGTTAAGAGTGTTATCATCGAGAGCATTTCATCACCGTTCTGGGGTTTTATTTGCAGAAATGAGGCCAACAGCAGGTCTCATCGGTGAGTTTGCTACTTGCCATAATTTTGTTAGTTCTTTGAATCTTTATTGAAACAAAATAAATTTAACTAGGATTTCCATTTTTCAGTGATAGGGGATGAAATATTAAAAGGATCAACTATGGATACGAACTCCTATTTTATTTGTAAGAAACTGCATCAGCTCGGAGTTCAAGTGAAAAAAGTAAGGTATTTGACGAAGTTTTGGAAACTTTTTTTCGTTATATACCGTTATTTGAATTAGAGCATTTTATTTTTTATTGTTGTTCCTTCTGCAAAAACGAACGTTCTGAAGTGTTTACCGGAACTGTTTTTTATGCATTTTTTTCTTTTAGATAAGATTTAAAAATTAGCTGGAGGTTTTTTCCTCCTGCATGTTGCGAATTCTTAAGATTCAAAGATCCAAAAACACTAAACGACAAAGCATATCCCTATTCGCAGCTGAAAAGAAGTGGGTTTGGTTTGCCGGGACGGAAAGCGACTTTTCCGTTTTTTGCTCGCGGTTTTTTATTGTTACAAGAATCCCGGGTCTACAGGGGTGGATCTGGGTTTCCTAAGACGAAAAAGTTTTACGTGAAAAGCGGAAAAATCGACTGAAGTCCTGGCGAACCACGCTCACAAAAAATAATGGACGAAAAACCACCTCAGCGAACTTTTTGACTGCTACTGCATGTATGCTTACATTGTTTACTTCACAATAATCATATTTCGGAGTTCAAAGAATCAAAGAATCATTTTTAGATATCATCTATCGGTGATAATGTGGACGATATCAGCGATGAGGTCCGTTCATTTAGTGAACGATTTGACTACGTATTCACCACTGGTGGTGTAGGACCTACCCACGATGACAAGACCTATGTCGGTCAGTCATGTTCCTCATATTGAATTTTTTTTTATAATTCTTTGGCTCTCATCAAGGTTATCCTCAGGTGTGGCTCAAGCGTTCAAGGAGGAGCTACGTAAATCTCCAGAGATCGTTGAAGCTATCAAATGGTTCATTCCTACGGGACAGTTTTCAAATGAGCAGAGCACATTTGTGGAGAAGCTAAGCCAGGTAACTCAATGCTTGACATCACTTTATAAATTCCCCGATATCCATTGTGGTAAACAGTAAACTAATTCAACTCAACTCTATAGGGCGTCCCACTAGTAGGTGCCCTTTGAAGAGGGCTCATTCTTACCGTGGTACTCAACGCTCATGTTGACCAATTAGGCATAGTATTTTCAAGGCTTCAGCAGTAAAAAAGTGGTTTCCTAGTTCTAATTTAGTCTTAGGTATTGGTCTCTATTTCACGTGGCAGAAGCCTTATTCCCTTTTTTCATGCTCACCGCTGTTTTCCATATAATAAAGGCTTTCCTCGTCCCGAGAATGTGAAGCCGGTGCATTCTTTTTCCCCCCTCCTAACTAAGAACTTCGAAGCGACTAACTTCTGATGATGGTCAGTGTGTAGACCGAGTTAGTCAGATGCGTATTTCAGATCCCTGCCTCTGCAGAATTACTTTGGGGTCGTAAAACAGCTAATGGGAGACCTTCAAACTTTCCCATTGTGAGGACACGAAATGTGATCACGTTACCAGGTGTACCACGATTCTGCGAAAAGGCTTTCGTCGAACTGCAGGCAAGTATTCATTTGTATATTTATTCGATACGTTGTGTACATTAACGTTAGAAAAAAAACACAAGTTATCTCTCTACCATCACAAAGACACTGAGGTAAACATACACAAGTCAATTACATACATTTGAACTATGTTCCAAAATCATGCTTTATTCTGCTGAGGTTTGTTCCAAAGTACAGTCTGCATTTTAATGACACTGTTTATGTATTTTTAATTGAATTCCTGAAATTTTGCGCTCTCGCATGCTATGACTTTGTCTCTGACATTGGTCTTTGGTTTTGCCCTAAAGCCGTTACATATGCTTGACACGTAGTGCTGTGGTGTTGCAGCATCGAACCCACTCGGAGTCTTCTGTTCTTCGTTTGCAGTTCGAATGTGTGGTAGGCCGCACGCATAGTCGGTCGTCCGACAGCAACGATCGCAAGTGTCGCACAGCATTAGGTGCGTATCGATCGTCAGAAGTGCGACACTTACGATCAATACGCAGCTACTATTCCACACTACAATGGGACTTTCGAAATACCATCACGCGCAGTCACGTGTTGTCTGGGTTTGCATTGGGTGACCGCGTCGCCTTCCATTTGCGACCGCGGTTTATGCGACACTTGCGGTCGTTGCTGTCGGACGACCGACTATGCGTGCGGCCATACGCATCGAGAATGCGCTTGCACGATCGATACGTATCTACTGCACACGCGATTTGCAAGATACTCGCTAAGTATGACCGCACCCTAATGGAGGAGGTACACTATCAGATCCATTCGAAGCAATCTATTGCCCTGGTGTTATCATAATTCTGTTCAATTCATTATTATGGATATTTTGCAAAGTTGTGAAGACATGAGAGCGAGCGAAACTTTCTTTCAAGACGAGTGGATTTGCCGCTATCTCAGAATATAGGGCATCTTTTGATTCACGAGCGAACACGAAATGTAGTTCCCAACAAAAAATTATACGTGTACTGAATATCTTCGGTTCATCGATTCTCTGCGATCTGTCTGGTAGACTGTGAATGCTCCCCTTTGAAAAACCCTCTTACCGTGAGAAGTTCGTGACGAGAAATGCCGTTCCACTTTGTTTAGAAAACTGCGATGATAATCAATAACGAGATGACGCAATATGCGGCGAGTTTAGAAAGAGAGTTACGGCCATAGTTTGCCATCTCTTGGCCTTTATACGTTGTTATTCCATTCATACCTTATGATCCTTGATGGTTTGGTCTCTCTTTGATGGAATAACTTCGACTCGAACCCAAGAGCGGTTGCCCTTTCATGTCAACCCAAAAACCAACACACGTTTTCGCTTTTAGGCTCCTCTTGCAATCGGCTGGTTTCTGAACAACCATTTCAGCTGAATTGAACAATCGGGAAACCGTATTATTTACTTGTTTACACAAAGTTGAAGCCTCTCTGTCATATCATGACATTACCGGTGTACGCCCACCGACCTAGTCACTCGTAGCAGGTCTATACGCGGAGTGATTAGATAGCGGAGAGTCATGTTGAAGAGGGCACAGCGGTGAGGGTCGCGTCAATGCGCAAATCAACGGGCAAGGAAGGGGTCCCATTTCTCGGGTTCTAGGCCATTTTCCTCAGTTTTTCTTCTTTCGTGCATCACTGTTCATCTCGTAACTTGAATTGAATGGGCTTGCTTTCATCAGGGCGTTTATTCGATCCTTCGTCTTCAAGCGTATTTTGATAAGGTTTAGGTGTATGACACTACACTCAAGTCACATAACAGAAAAGATCTTCGCATCTGAGTCATTCCGCCATTGGGGTTTACTCCGATCTCGAAGTTATTACGTTCCCCAGTTTCTTCATGGTTTGTATGCTACTCAAGTGATTTCAGGATCAAATTTTCCCATCATCCTTGAAACCCATGTTCTCGGAGACAATCTACACTTCGAAAGATGAAGTGAAAATCGCTAAGCAATAAGCTTAAGCAGTGTGATGGAGTGTGATATGTGGGTCCTTTATCCTGTCATGAACACACGTGCCTTTTTCATACGTTTTTTTGCTTTCTTCTTTGCTCTTTATGTCGCTTTTTGACTCCCTTATGAACAGAAGAATTTGTTATTTTTTACAACTACGTTGATATTGCAGGTTCTTCAAAATAAACTATCGTAAATATTAAAATATAAAATATAAGAATGCAAAGAGGGTTAGTAGAACAATTTATGGTCAAAAATCGCTGACGTATTAGTCCAGAAATTGCATTTTTACATTTTCCGCTTTTTGTAGGAGTAGGCTGCGGATTTTGCTATGAGAGTTTTGCGTTTTTGGATCAAAAATGTTGAAGTATTTTAGATGCCGTTGTCCATTATGACGAGGAACCATGGGTTGATACGGTTGAGAAATTCAATCGTTTTCGAGAACGTGAACTACCGAAGAATCCTGAATATGTAGTGCGCCTTAATGACGCCCTTGTAATAATCGATGATCTCTTGGAACAATATCCGTAAGTGCATTCTCTCGTTCTCGCAGTTTTCTTTCCCTTCTCTCTCAGTGGTCATGTTCCTCATTGCTATAACTTCAGCCTTGAACAGATTAGCCTTTCGTTCAATGGTGGAAAAGACTGTACAGTTCTCCTTCATCTGTTTCGGTTAGCTGTAGATAAGTGAGTTCTTGCTTTTCTATTTTTTTGTTCGTTCGTTTCCTCTTCCTTATTCTTTTATTTTCTTATGTCTTATGCGCCTACAAACGCACTGAAACATTCACACAAGGAACGCTTTGTGGGTGATCAGCAATCGGAAAACCCACTAGGGCCGCAGTAGTTCGGATTTCTGAAACTTTGAAGAAGACAAGTATAGTGAAAGTCCACAAGTAGGGCATTGACATTTCTGGAACTGGGAAAAGAGGAAGGGTCATCTATCATTGAATGACACAGGGTTTCCACTAGTAATTCCAGGTATAACTACGTATTAGATATGGCCTTCTGCAAAGGAGATACTAGGTTATTCAAAACTGAATAGAGTTTCAGTGAAGATGAATTCTTATCAACTTGTGCTCATCTTTTGTGGCTTGGAGAAATCGGTGTAGTGGCGCTGCTCACCAGGCACACGTCCCGGGGATAAAATCCTGGGTCGTACGCCGCCGCCTCCATCCCTTGCGCTGGTTTGATTGGTATCAGACTCGTATGGGAGGAGAAAAACACTGACTTATGCATGCATCGGCTCGTTTCGCAATCATCTTGTAGGCCAGACCGTATGTAAAACGCCTCTGCTGCTTTTAGTGGAGGTAGAACGCACGGCGTATCCCAAGAGTTTGGTCAGCACTGATTGCCTCATTCTTTTTAACTCATTTCTCTGTGCTCACCTCATTCTCAGAATGTCATCTCAGTTGTGTTTTCAGGAAGTATGGTCCTGATGTTCAGATTCAAGGCTTTCATATAATGGTCGAGGATCAGTTTCCGGAGGCAACTCAATTTATAATCGATGCAGCCAGAAAGTGAGCCATAATGTTTCAGTTATTTTCTCAATAACTCAATGACTAAACTATTATTTCATATGCATGTTATAGTTACAACATTGTGGTGACAGAGTATCCAGGACCTCTCAAATCAGGACTTGAAGCGCTAAAGAAAGAACAACCAAATGTTGTTGCTGTGCTAATGGGAAGTAGAGGAACTGATCCGCATGGGAAGTACATGAAGTAGGTTGCCGATAGCGCTAATCTGTTTAGTTTATCGGATCTGGAGTATAGTGGCGTTGAAATCAAGGAAGGCAATATCGGCTTGTTTCCAGGTCTCCAGTTGAATGGACAGATCCGGACTGGCCGAAAGTTTTGCGTGTTTGTCCTATTCTGGCATGGTCTTACCGTGATGTATGGATGACGTTACGGGAGCTGTGCATACCATACTGTCCCCTCTATGATATGGGATATACTTCATTAGGAGGACGAAGTACGACTGTGAAAAACCCATTACTGAAGATCACAGGGAAGGATGGCTCTGAGAAGTTAGTTTGAGGCAGTTCTTTTTTTTTTAGTTTGATCCTTTATGAATAAGAAAACATTCCGCAAATTGATTCCCGAAACTACCTAGGGTCGTAACGGGTTATGCACGTGGTAAATCCTTGCACTGTCAATTTATGTTTTACGAATGAACTCTAGAAGAACTTATTGTGGCCTTATTAACCTGAGAGATTAGAGTCAGGCTATATCGTGATACGGAAAAACCCACCAATAAGCTTTTGCCAGTCCGCGTTCTATTACTCACCTCTCGTTGTGACGCCTCTGTGTTGTGTGACAAATTAGTGACTTTCCCCTTCTATGCACTCCCAGCTGGTTGTCTTGGAGGACACTCTTCCGCGCGTTGGAAGCGCTATGTTTTCAGCCCTCTTACGTTTATTGCATTGCCAGTATTTCTTTTTACCTCTATCCTCTTCCTCCGCCTGCTCCTAAAATTCGTCAGTCTCACGCTAGCCGAAGCTGGTCGCTGGGCTAGCTGATCGGTTTGGCCTGATCCCCAAAGGCTACGTTTCACTTAACACAAAAAGCAACGCCTTCAACCAGGAGCGACCTGCGTTACGTGCAACTCTAGCCAATCTAACCACTCAGGCCTACCTTGGGCGTCGGACTTCGCACCGAATCCCTGCTCGACATCTACAGCCCGACCAACCGGCAGACACAGTTCGCTGTGACGCAGAATTCATTCTCTGTGGACCATCAGTCGAACGCTAGCCCCCACTCCCTCCTCCGCTCATCCTCCGTACACCTAGCCTTCTGCGACCACGAATACGGGAAACTCTGGAAGGGGAAGGCGCATGCACGGCCTCAGCGTTGCAGATCGAGAGCTCCAAGCAATCTTCAGGCTGATGGAAACGAAAAGGTCGAAACCTGATGCAGCTTTCAGACTTCGCGATTGCTATCGTCACTGCAATTGGCATCGTGCCAATCCAAACTACATGAAAATAACGGTTGGGCCAAAAATTCTTCGGGCCTGGGTTTGATGTGACATTTTAGTTTTTTTGTTCTCGCTTGCAAGTTACCTTTGACATGAGTTTTCTCCTTGCATCGTTCCTAGAGTGTAGCGACAAACAGACCCAATTTGATGCAGACCGTTAGGTGGCGGGAATGACACGTATTTCGAACTGCCAGTAGTGGCGAATAGTAACTGGCTCCCTTGGGGTAAGCATTGGAGGAGGCGCAATGAACAGAGCGCCGCGCCGCCGTGTGCCCCCCCCCCCCCAACCACTTAACACCGAATTCTGTTACGTGGCACAGTGCCAATGGCAAAGCCTTACACCCAACCGCGGCCATCCTATTCTATATACTGGTTCCATCTGATTGCCTTGCTGGTATAGAAGAAGAACGGTAGATCATTGAACGTAACCTCTGCCGGAACTATGGTATTCTCCGTAACTAGCGCATAGGTATTTTCAGAAATTCTTTACATCCCTAAAACAATTATACGCATGACGAAAATTTTATAATAATCATAGATTAACTATCTAATACCATGGCTGTATTGACTTATTTTGGGACCAAGACGGGCGTGGTCGACTTCATGAAGTCCTTGTCTTCCTCGTTGAATCTTCAAGCGCCGACGACGTCCGTTTCTCGTCACCTACTTGAAGTTGTTCCGGGTCAGAAACGGTACACCAAGCGTCGGTGCGTGTTGTGCTACAAACGAATGTCTCGGTCATTTGGATCTGCCATTGCTAAATCTCGAACAAAGCAAGTAAATACGAGGTGTAACCGGTGTAATGCTTTTATCTGCCTCATTTGTTTTCAGGTTGAACATACGGTGTGCGATTAATTTATTGTTGCTTAATTACAAAAATAAAAATTGTACATAAATTTAGTTAGATCTAACATCACCGAGAACATTTCACACAGAGAAGGATAACAGTGCAATACCAATTCATGATGCTATAGAAAAATCCGGCAAATTAACGTGTACAACATTACTCACAAAGTGTGAAATGGTTGGCACTGCGTGCATAACCGGTTATGCCTGGTGCTTTCGGAGCAAAATTTGATTTGAAGGGAATCTTTAGGAATTTAAGCTTAGTAAGCGTTCAGGAATTCAAGCAAAACAAAATGAATTAGAATCTGTTAAAATGACTTAGAACTGATACTATAAAAAGAATTGGCTCACCTGAATGTCAGCATAGAGGAAACTACACAGCAGCAGTCCATGAAGATTGATCCATGGAAGATTCCCAACGGGAATTCAACACCTTTGGCAACATACGGAGCTCCACAATTTTTCTTTTGCACAGACGTCATCTTTTTCAAGGCAAACTGTGTCGCGATGGTAAGCTCAGGGTACCTGACAGAAGGGCCTGTCGCGCGGCGAAGCAGAGACCCAGATGGGTCAGCGGACAGTTCAGTTCTCATACTTCTGCTTAGTGACAGGCCCATCTGTGTTACTTAAGCTCAGCGAATGTTCGATTCTTTACCCGTCGCACAAGTCTTAAGCTCATGTCCATATTTGTATACATACGGTTTGAGTCCAGGTGGAGAAATCCTCCGAGAGTGCTGGCCTTCTCGGGTGCTCTACAGATGAGTGCGTTTTTCGAATACCTTGCACCGCAACTCAGTTTGGTGAAGCACTAGGATGTAGTGGTGATATGGCTCAGATTATGATGAGAAAATGTCCTCAAGTATCGTTGGAGGAGGCCGACAGCGTCAAGCTTCAGAAGCGTAAATCACGACACATCGTATGTCTATGGAAGAGGAATAGGGGTGAAGGAAAAAGTAGTCCTAATACGTCAACAGCCCTTCGGCTCCTCGGCCACGCCTACCGGCCAGGGTAAAAATCGGTCGATGATTTCCCTACCGTTATTCACCTTACTACCGGCGCACGTGGAAGAGATTTTATAAAGCAATGTTTCTGAAATGATTCCGCTACCGTCATAATTCGATTTTCTTCCCTAAATGCACTATTGCACCGTTGCCGTCGACGGCTGACCACAGTTGCGTAGCTTCGTGGGACCCCACTGCTAGTCATGAGCCTCCACAACAGGCAGATAGCCATCTTAAAAAACACTCCATTTACTGGAAGTCTCTTCACGATGGTTGGAGGGTGGTGCGGTTTGGATGGCGTCATTGGTGAGATAGACACCTTAGGCGCTGTGTTGTGTTGTGTGGGTGCGGTTTGTGACCCCATTCACTAGTGACTTAACAATGCGTCAATCCTTACAACAAATCTATACCGATGTCGCTTGCCCTCGAATAACACGGGCTCAGATGGGATTTGGCTTAGGGTTGGGTTCTGTGAGAATGTTCTTCTGCGATGCAAGTTTTATTTTAGTGAGCTCAGTTGACACGAATATAAGAAACTTGAAATCAAATGCTACACCAAGCTGGGTGAGAAAATGAACTTGTCTACAGCGCGGCTTTCGCGCATCACAACGACACTATGTTACCACCACACAAGCAGTAGTGTCAGCGAGGTACTTAGGCTGCCTTGCTGACGGCAATTTGAATCCTCCGCGCTGCTATTGATACCTCCTGACACACACCCACAATTTCATATTTCATATAAACAGTCGTCCGTGACGGCGTTTTCGCGGCGTACAACTCGTACAAAGCTAGACGCTATTCTGGCTGAGGTCAGGCCTTGTGGCTGTTTGTCCATTTGACATTACTTTTCCGATAAAATTCAGGTACATGCCGGCTTATAAAACTGACAATGGAGATGCAGAACGAAATGGACGTTCATCTATCTAGCTGTAGACGGCTATTGTTAGTTGATAGTCGAGATTATGAATCCTTTGATTAGTATCCAGATTGGCTGTATTATTACTAGTAATTTATGCCTTATGTGATTGCACTTTAGGAGCGAATTTGTTGACATTTTTGTTATATCACGTCCAGTTGGTGAAACCATTCCGTTCACTCTGAAAAACTTACTTGACACAGAAATTACCTCGATTTAAGGACTTCCATTCGTCATTATTTTCATGTAGAGTTACTGCAATTTTCAAAAAGATGTCGTGATTATTGGTGAATGCGATTCAATGCAATGGTGATCGTTGCTGATGTTTACAGATGAAAATTCAATAAATCATTTATGAAGAGAAGAGACGATTGGTAAAATTCCAGTGTTGGTGCACGTAAAAGCTGGAGATCCCATCGTTTAAACGCGGCGGATTGCCGTCTGATTGTCTACGAAAATCCATCCGGCCTGTGCTGGGCGGGGCATGCGCTGAAACAGGCGGTGCTATAGACAAATTCTGAACTGAGTTCAAGGACAGTCCGGAGATCGGGAGGAATTGCACAGAATGCGATATCAAATTTGAGAGAACCGCTTATGGCGGCGTAGCCCGTCCTCAAAATCGGCGGTGGCGAGATGAGAACGTCTCCACCAATTTAGGCAAGTCTGAAGGCAAATATCACACTGCGATTTTGACGATTCAACCGATTTAAGAGTGTTGGGAAAGGGGTACGCGACAGGAGGCTTGTCGCGGCGACAAGAAGGCAGAGACGTGGACACGTCAGCGGACGAGTCGCAGTGTGTACTGCTACAATTAGCGTCCATATCGCACAGTACCAACTTCGACTCGATAACTGGGTGACGAGAATCAACGCGCAAAGGAAGGGGTTGTTTTTCCTTTTGCACGACTAATACTGCCCTCGCCGCTTTCCCAAATTCTCGACTGATCTTCGTTCGCTCATTGACTGCTTGCATTCTACCTCACGCTCATCAATCACTTGAAACATGCCTAGTGCAACATAGCAAATCCTGGAAATTTTGATCTGCTTATAGTAGAACACAGCGAGTGGATGAAGGCTTGCCTGTAATAGGCAGACAGTTTCCTTGGGGTGCCCGACAGGAGACCCGTCGCGCGGCAAGAAGGCAGAGTCAGCGGACGAGTCGCAGCGCGTACTGTAGTGATTTCGCGTCATGTTAAATAGCGACTGTGCGACTCGTGCGACTGACTGCCTTAGGCCAGACCGAGGTCAATGTATATGGTGCGGCGGGACTGATCTCAGGATTTCAGATTTTCCCTTCCATGCCCGCAAAAACCCTGGTGTGGCTATAGCATGACACCGTGAGGCCATCGAAGGAATTTTTGAGGTGAAGATGCAACTGTTTCACCTGCTCTCAAAATCAAATACAACACAAACTACCGCAGTGGTGGGTGCCGTAATGGAGACTGTGAGGCCCGCCCACCCTCCAAGGCTAGCGGTGAGGAGTCGTGGAAATTTTGAAATCGCCAAATGGACATAGATCCTGTGTCGAAGCTCGTTCCTGCTATGAGCCTGGGCAACAATTCTCATCCTGCAGACTATTGAGTGCTCTCCATCGAAATGCCGTCCCCCTTTTACGCTAGCGACGCTGACAATCCCGTTCATTGCGTAAGAATTTGACAGATTCCCAACCTCTCAAGGAGTGTGCAGGTGTGCGACGGCGGTATCCTCGGTGTGGGGATCCAGCACTTGGTCACCCGTCCATGGATCTGAAAACGGAGCAACTAGATTGAAGAGATGAAAGATGGTACAAGAATCAGGAAAAAGTTGGCGCTACCTTCAAAAGGGAGTTTACGATACGGATGCAGCCCGGCTCTATACAAGTGGGTGGGCACGCCCAGCTTTTCACGCATGTCACTGCCCTCACCCCCACCCCCTAGATTGGCTACACTCCCCCTGGCTCACGAATTCCCCGATTCTCGTGACAGTATAGTAGCGGCAGCAGTCCCACTTACATACATTTCTGTTCAAAAAATGCGGCGTGCCCACCCTACTAGTATAGGGAAGACGTGCGTTTCTCCTCCTGGGGTCAGCTCACCACAGTTGCGCGATCATTGAAGTATAGCACCAGCCTAGTATAGCACCTGCAGCCCGTTAGATTCAAGGTAGAAGTGGTTAGTGATGAAAGAATGATGAAAAACGAAGGAAACGGGTCAGAACTTCGAAAATGAGCTCTTTTTCTGCTCGTTCATTTCCACATTGGAGGGGGGGGGTTTCATCAATGGTGATGTCACCAACGTGAGCTTCTGCTTCTTTACCAAACGGTTAGTAGAGGCTAGAGGCTGGCGTTAAGAGATCCAGATGAGTGAGCAGCGGCACGAGTGGCGCGGGTACGGTCCTTTTAGGCCGTTATATGGGCATACCGTTAATAGCAGATGCGCATCGTCCTGCACCCGCATGGGTTCGCCTGCCTTTCCAACGCTTGATGTATTCCCCTTCTTCGACCTCCAACCTCCTTCAAAAGGATGCAGGAAGGGGGGGGGGGGGGTGGAATTCGACACAACGGAAGTAAGTCTCCCAGGCATCTAACGCCACGGAAAGCACACTTCTTTCACAAACTTCACGGGTTGAATTGCACACCAAGGAAAGGATATTGTTTGGAGGTGACACAAACTTCCAACGCACGCCTGTTCAAGGGTCAAGGAGTAGCTGGCAAAAAAAAAATGAGCAACACACTTTTCTGAGTATCAAAACGTTCCCCATAGCGAAAAACAGAGCAACCTACGAAGAATTATAACTTTTCAAGGCGGATTGACGCTGTCTAGACGTGGAGGGAGGAGCAATGTGATCAGCAGTTCTGCTCTTACAAGTAGGGTGGTGGACGCAGACATTTTTACTTCAGAAATAGTGTAAGTTGGGACTGCTGCCCACTATAAAAGGATAAAGGATAAAGCATTTGCCGTTGATCAATCCCTTTTGGGATGCGGCACGCATTCTACTTCCATTTGTACATTCGTAGTGGCGTTTGAATGCGATGTGGCCTATACAATGACTTGCGGGGCCAGCCGATGTACAAGTCAGTGTTTTTATCCTCCCAGACAAGTCTGGTACCAATTAACCGACCCCGGAGGGATGGAAGGCTTGGTTGGCCCGGGCGACTCACGACCCAGGATTTGATCCCCGGACCGCTCGCGTGGTAAGCGCGCCACTTGTCACTACACCACTTCCGCCCTCCCGCTACTACCTGTCACGATAATCGGGGAATTCGTGAGCCAGGGGGAGTGTAGCCAATCTAGGGGGTGGGGGTGAGGGCAGTCACTTGACATGCATGAAAAGCTGGGCGTGCCCACCCCACTTGTGTAGCACCAAAATGAGAAACATTTTATGAGTATCAGCAGAAAGAACGAGCTTAATAGGGAGCTTTAAGTCTATTTGATCAATCAAAAATACCCAAAACATCAAACATAGAAAGAGGTGGCGGGTGGCGCCGCAACGGGTGGCACGTGACACAATAGATCATCCCCCCCTGCTTTGTTTTTCCCCGCGCCTACCATCTACCTCATCCTGTGACCAAGCGCGGTAGAACCCTCAGGCGTGGTCCAAATGGGCACCTAACACCATAGAGCAAGGGCGGTCCTGAGAAACCACTTTAGTCTGATTCTGCTGTATTGTTCAGTAGGGGCTACAGTATTTCTGCTTTATAGAAGATCATGATGTGTATTTTAGGTTGGTCAACACCGTAACATGGTCGATACATAGGCAGCCAGATTCCAGTCGCTTTGCGCCTGGCAGTGGCTGATTTTTTCAGCGATCTTTATATTCGAACAGAATGATGGCAGAATGCTCCTTTTAGCGTAATCCTGATGAACGCGCCATGCCCTCCTCGTTGTGGCGGTGGAAAGGCGACTGAGAGCTTAGGAACGCGGATTGAACAATGTTCCTGAATTCATCTATCATTTCATATTATTTTCTTATGACAATACTCTTGATAGGAAAATGCTCAATATATTCCTGCGATTTGGATGTTTATCAGCTAAAAGGTGTTCGTGCTTGTACAGGCACGATTTTCTCCGTTCTAATTGCATAGAACTGTCGCGTGCGGTCGCGAAGCGTCTTGCAGTCATTCGGAGAATGCTGTCTTTATCTACAGTTACCTTAGTACTTCAAATGTCCTCTATCGCTCGTTCGATCCAAGGGTCTGCTATGGATCAACCAACCGTCCCACTGGATGCTTTTCAAGAACTGGTAGCACTAAGTAATTTCTATCGGGTCGTGTCTAGGAGTTGAGAGAGGGGGAGTCGAGGTGCTCAAGAAATTTTCAGAAAGGAGTCTTATTTGGGATTTTAGGGGAGGGGGTTGTGGTCGTGAAGGAAATATGTTTCTTCTTCTTCTTCACTGGCAGTGTGGTCAACCTTGCTTCCTTACTTCATTTCTTAAGCGAATATACCGAATTGAATGTGGAAGTCAACTCTTGATTTATTGGCTCAAGACCCATCTTTTAAAAAAGGGGAAGGAACAAAAACACTGAATTTTAATCTGTCATTGCAATTTTTATCTGGTAATTTAGAAAACCGTGAAGACTGTTACCTGTTCAAACTCCCGTCCCGGTAAATCTGTCACAAATGGTGGGGGCGGGAACGATTTCACTAATTTTCCGGAGTGCCTTTCTAGAACCTCTTTTTAGCCTTTTCCACCTGTGGCAATAAAATTGTTTTTTGCTGAATCCTATTCTATCCATCGTTTTGCATCCACCCTCCAAATTTGTGCGCTTCAAAACGATTTTTTCCATGTGTCGCCTGATACATGGTCGCCCCAAGGCGCACTCCTTTCTTTCCCTTTGCTCCGCCCAACCTACCCGAGACCGTCCCCAGAGCGTAGTTTTCGTAGGACTGTTTCTTTTCGGAAACTAAAACTTCTTATGTGAATCTTGGTACGTTGCCACCAATGGTCACAACTGACGTGTTCATGTTGGAGAAGAATGCAAGGGCTTTTCTTGAATCTTTTGAATAACTCAACGAATTTTCAAAGAAAGTGTTTATTACTATTGCAACATGAGAATTATTCGGAACAAAAACACATTTATATACACGTAACAAAAGTAATACCTAGGAACGGAACACGTGCAACATCACATTGAATGGGTAATAGAGGCAAAATTATCGGCAGTGGGGATAGAGGCCGTTGGGCGAAGCGGAAAATGAATCGTGATTCGAGGAAAGGCGCTTTGATGTGGCTCAGCCACGCCCCCAGCGCACTTCCACCAATCACGCTTCATCTTAGCTCCGCCTCCCAGCCATCGTACTCAGTGCCTTTAAGTTAAGATAAGGAGCAGTGATGAGGGCAGAAATACGGATTGAGATGCTGACTCACCAACGTAGCATAATAGCGCATAATTAGTGGTTATCCGCTAGCCAATTATTGGCCAGTCAAGATAACACCTAGTTTTAAAGGTTGCGCTTCAATTGATCAAGATCTTTGGCATTAAATTTACACGATCAAATCGATAAGGCGTTGAAGATCGACGCTAACACTTATGGTGCCTATGTAATCATCAATCAACAGGGTCTCCAAAAATAGTCCAATCCAAGCTATTGAAATTTAATTTCTTATAAGAAGCTTTACTTTCCTCGCGGTTGATCGTACGTTAATCCTTGAGTGTTCTGCTGGAGTTGAGTTACGTCGAATACTTCCAATTTTGCGCCGTCACGGGTGAGCTAGAATATAGGTAGGATAAAATCTGCACCTAGATCTCCGTAGAACGACGTACTGTATAAAAACTTACTCGGCACGCTATTCCGATAGCCGTCTTCTTGCCAGGCACATTCCAAATGGTATACCGATCAGGTGACAGGTACACTGTATCGAATCCCTAAATAATATAAAGTTAACAATTTACCAGGAAAAATGGGTGTCCCCCAAGAGGCCCATCGCGCGGCGAAGGAAGAGACGCAGACGCGGCAAAGGACGAGTCGCAGCGCATACTGTAGCGGTTAGGCGTCAGGTTACGTCTATATCGCACAGCACACGCTGCGACCTTAGGGTCGGTCCTATCGTTGCTACTTTTCGAAAAAATTTTACGACCCCCCCCCTCTACAAACTCATCAAAATATACGACCCCCCGTTGCTACTTGTAGCAACATAGGACCGACCCTGCGCCGTCTTTCCTGCGCGTCTGCGTCTCTTCTTTCGCCGCGCGATGGACCTCTTGGGGGACATCCGGAAGAATGCTCACAGCATTTAGTTGGACTGCGTCTATACTTGGTAAACTCGCAGGGGGCTGTCCATATAAGGCATATGTATTGATTACAGCGCGAACGCCCTTACTCGGAGACGTGGTCCAAGCCAGTTTAAGTAAATTCACCAAATTAACCCATTCGCGACCGCGCAGGATTGCGCAATAGCAGCAGCGTCAGAAGATTTTTCTTCAATAAAATCCGAGTGAAGGGAGATTTCCTCTGCCCAGGGCTGGCGTAGATGAGCGAGGGTATGAAGATTCTTTCCATGGAAGAAAACTTTCCAAATTCCATTTCAAGCCCTGCAGCCACAGTAATACCATTGTCCCGAGTGAGAGCTTTGTCAGCCACCGGTGGCTGACATTGTCACGAATGGGTGTTAAATGATGAATATATGGTAACGCAGAAAATGTTGGCTCGTAGGCTGGCGGGTTTCAGGGGTACAGTCTTGAAACTTATGCCATAAGTGTTTTTTGTATAGGCAACTGCTAACCGAATCAGTCCAAAGCGCTGGATCAAGGGGGACCAGCAGGGTGCCTGAACAATTTTTTCTTCCCGATTCTCCCTTACTGAGCTCAGGCTCATGAGCCCTTACCCATACGAATATGATCACCGCAACGGTGCTTTAGTGATGTATTAGTAGCATAATTGCCCGGAAACGAGAGGTGTGGGTTCGATTTCTGCCCGTGGCAGAGTTTTGCTCAGAACCCAGCCTTCATGAACATTTATCGCTACCTTAGTCTACGCGACGCCCTAAGCTGTAACCAAGCTACCAACGGAGACCAACCGCAAGTTACCAAGTTAGTAAGCACAAACGCTATCTTAGGTTTACTCACATTGTGCCTGTAAATGCAACCAAGTGTCCTGACTACTGTCTTCGTACCCTCGAGCTCACACGTCTGTTCGATTTTCGCTTGGGAAGACTGCAGGTACCTGAAATCGACATTATAATCTCTTCACAGTCCCCAAAGTTAGCTAGCAGAGAATATGGATATTGATTGTTGCCCCGCAAACCCATTGATTTGACTTATCAGTGTGCCAGCACTTACCCAGACTTTTTGAAGATGAACTAGCCCTTTAGATTCTACAGGCTCTTTTTCTTCCAAATATCCCCTTTAATCTGTCCGACAAAATTCATTCTTTAACATGTTCAGAAATATTTCATGTCTCAAATTATTTGAAGATCTTACCATCTACATCCAATCACTCGTTCAATCTTTGAACCATCGAGTTCTTTGGAAAGACACGCAACGGGTTTATGTCCGAAGGAATCTGGACGAATCTGCAACGAAAATCATAATCATCGAAATTTGAGGGGTAGTGCGGAACTTGTGAGAAGCTCCACCCTCTTTCAGCGAAAGCTCCTCCCACTTCCAACTCACTTACCTCGCACTCGTAGACAGAATCTTCATCACGGTATCGATCACCATCATAGAGCCGCTTTTGACGATGTTGGCAACCAATGCACACTTTTTGGCTACGGCCACCGTTGGATTTGCAGTAATAGATGAACTCACCATCCTAAACATTCATCAGTTTAACATCCCACAAAGTAAAAGAATCGATTTTGGGCGGTGGCTTTCGGCCACACCTGCTCCCAAAAAGCATGAACGTGCACTTTGCCATGATATCACGTTCAACGTTTACAATAGAACTGAAGAAATGGGATACGAGACCGTTTCTAGAGATCGACACGACATTCGCATCACTCATCTCTTACCGGTAAATGCAAAAAAGTGACGCATTGAGTGGGAAACCATCAACTTTTTTCACGTCTCTGCCCTGCCCTGATCTTCTGGCTCTTTCCATATGCATTGAAGACTGAATCTTATAGCGAGCCGCGTAGTGCACGAAAAGTAACGTGATCAGGTTATTTGAACCTTGGGACGAGGAACGAGCCACGCATTTGCGCTTTTGCTCCGCAAATTTGTTGCGGTGGTTGGAGATTTGCGCGTTCTCACCTTCACTTTCAGGCGGAAGAAGCAAGTGTAAAGTTAGTGTTATAATGTATTCAGCTCAATGCTAGTTTTTCATCCAATAGTCAAAAGGAATGCGAAACTCCGAGTGACGTTGACCAAAAAGACATGTGAGGTGAGTTTTGACCCTGTTTCATCTAAACCCTCGCTTAGCCAAATGATTTTTTTGTTGAAGCACCCCTGAATTTCTGACGGACCTTGGTGAAATACTGAAGCGGTCATCATTTTCAGTTGGTCTGCAATATTACGTAAACTTCAATGTATCACTTACCGGCCATTGTTCTCCAACTTTGTAATGCTGTCCCTTATGAATACAACCAACGCTGCACATCTGAATTGTTCCGTTGTATTTCAGACGGCATTCGTACCTGGAAATCGATAATCGATTTTTCAAAGTCTATCATTCGATACCTTTTACCTAACTTCTCTCTTTCTCTTCAACTCTCTCTTTTTTGTAACGTCACTTGAGAAGCAGGTTTGTGATTGATGACAATAAGCGTAGCCGATTGACCAGTTGTGAATAGCAGGTCTCTATTAAAGCCTTTTAATATTTCTAACGTTTTATAAAATGAAGGAGGAAATACTGGGTGTTCTACTGGGGTGCGCCACAAACTCCACTTCCTCCCAGAATCGTGGATACATTAATTACTTACGGGCCCAGCCAATCTCAAGGCGCTGCCTCCATTGATACCAATTACCTAAGTTCTGAATAGTGAAAATGTGCTTTTCATCATAAGGTCAGATCAGAGATCCCCTTCGCTTTAACTCCTTGAAATTTCTCGGAATTTCTGGAAAATCCCGAATTTTTTCCAAAACACCTTGGGACCTCGGCGGTGTCTTATTCCCACCTCTTCAAAAATGCAATACTGGTATCCCGAGCCTAACACAACCAACAACCCCATCCCAGAGTAGGATGCGTTAGAATGAGTGCTACCAGTTGCCAAACATCCCTTCGCACCGGCCTATGTGACATCACTATCGAATTTCGGCTATCCAATTTTAATCATGGAGAATTTGCACATGTAAGGTGCTTTGCAAATGTCTGGAACTAAAACATAGGCTATTCGAAGAAGAGCGGGGCGGGGGGAGAATAGGGGAATTTCAATGAGCAGTTTATCGCGAGTATCACCCAGGAGGACGCCCATTCAGGGTTACCGTCCATTCTAACTACTTATTAGAACCGGAAGGGAAGGGAGTCGTATCCGCGATTTGGGAGTGGATCGTATTGCTTCCCCCTCTCTAAGGCTTATGTTATAGATGGTTGTATCGAGGCCCTAGCAAGGGGTGGGAGGGGGGGGGGGTCGTCGAAGTACCGAAACGAAAAAAAGTACGTACGCGGCGGCTGAGCCTGCGTCCATCGTGAGCAAACTAGCCAAAACCAGTAGCAATTCACGCTCCCTTTACATGTGCACGCCATTTTCTGCCCATTTTAGCCCAATCTGGTTGTCAAACTTTGTAAAATTTCTGCGGTTGAATTTGAAAGTCATAAATTCCTTCCTTATGACCACTATATCTTTTCGAGGGAACAGGCTATACTACAAATATAACAATTGAATTTTATTGCAGGCAGGTTGTACGGCTTTTACGAGCATTATTTCACGTTATTTTTAGCATTATTCCACAAAATTGACTACGCTGAAACGCTCGTACTCTTGTGCGAAACCGGAATTCAGCATACTACCAAGTACGGTCATAAAGTAACTAATTTTACAGAGAACATGTTTTCGAAAAAAGCAACGAGTGATTTTTCGGTTGGACCACCCCAACTACCCAAAAGAATACACAAGGTCGTGCGCCGATGCGGGCGCGCTGCAAGGCACCATAAAAACAAGAGCCATACTTTTCTCTGTACGACGGGAGAAAATTGTTTTCTTTCCTCCTTCTTCCTAGATCTTTTTTCCTTTATAATTTGGAGATCAGGTTCGAGATCGAGGCGGTATTCTCACTCCCTACGACAACACGTGTCGCAATTGCAGACTTTGCAGCACATCTGGCACCTAACAGCACCAAAAACATCGAAAACTACAATTTGGTACGAGTGTTTTCGAGCTGGATCGTGTACCACTAGGTCCGCAATTGGCGACTCGCCCTGCCTGAGGAAACAGAGCTCACTAGAGTTCGAATCAATACAACATGCAGGACTTGACCAATTTCCTAATTAGGAATTTCGGCGCTAATGTACTAGAAGTAGGAATAAGCTGGCGCCAACGTGGATTACGGTAACCATCCTCTTCTCCTGAACTTATAAGATCGTGTAGGGATGGAGGGGCATCACGGCGCAGAGTGTCACGTCATTATTTCCCTTCGTGCACAATCGAAATGGTCCTCACACCCCCGGAGCTTCCTTCCCTACGAAAAATTGGATTACTATTGCTGGAACGAACTCTTGCATGACGATCCCCCTCCACCTATTGTAAAATAGAGCCATTTTTTACAGCTTCAAAAAATGGTAACAGTTCATCGATTCAGAAAAGATTCACGAAACCCCTCTCAACACCCCCGGTTAGCTTCGGGATTCGAACCTGAGAACCAGAATAGCCTAATGCAGCTCCTCCAATCACTCTAGCTGACCTCGCGCGTACTCCACAATTTTAGATATTGATTAGGCAGAAAATAGCACTAGACTCACATATAGTCTCCAAAATCGTCTCGCTCCCCGATAGCGACTCTCGTCCGCTTGTCATGACTTATACAACCTTTTGGCCGGCTTTTCAAATACGGTCCATCTTGTTCGCATTCGTAGTAGTACATGTTCTGAAAATATTTGTTTTTAGATTGCTTAACCATTTTTAATTTTTTTCTTAAAGTCTGCAGATAGAAAACAATTGGTGCGCCGCGCAAACACTCCCGTCAATTTATCGATTTGCGAAGCTACCGACGAACCGGCGCACTTATGGTTGTCTTGGTCGTGATAGCGCGTCTGAAAAGACTCGCGAGAACCGCGTCAATCGATATCGCAGTCATACAAAGTGAATGTCCACGTCCAGCTTTAGAGCTTACTTCTTTCGGCCCTTTTTCTTCAGTTTACTTGAACATTTAAGTAAAAATCGTAAGCGCAATGAGCGCTCAGGGGGGGGGGGGAGGGAAGTCTGTTAGTCTGTATAAAGCACTCGGCTAACCCTAATTGAAGGTACGGGCTTCAGAGATGCAATTGCTTAAGCACCTCGGAATCTCTCTTCTCTTGACCTGAAACTGGGAAATCCGTGAATCCGACGCGATGTTGCGGGCTGCCCCCCCCCAAGCCACATTTCGCCAAAATCAGGAATTTTCTATAGGCGCTACTTTAATGGGTAGAAAGGCTTGGATTCCGTAAGCGTTGGCGGTGCATTTTTTGCTGTCTGCGCGTCTCTCATAAAAGCACTGACACAACAGCAAACAATTTTTACTCGCAGTATGTCATTTTTTGCCTTCTCTGTCCCCTCCATATCTTCCAGTCACGTTCCCTGGCGCACGTTTAGTTACTTTGCCGCCTAATCTTAACCCTACGTCGGTGAGAGGGTGGAGACAGAAAAGAAAAAGAAGAAAAGAGAAACAGGTGCCACGGATTCGCGCCCCCCCCCACCCCTTCTGACTACGATAGCACTTCACTATTTCCTCTGCAAGGAATGATTTTTGTTCTGCTTGCTCGGTTCATACGTTCATTTTTTCTCTTGCCGGCAGTTCGTTAAGTGTCCTATATTGGGTGCACTTGAAGGACAACAAAAAACTCTGCAGAGTGCAAACGGACAGCGTCGAACAATCACTCGACTGTCTTTGCACATCGCATTAAGGTTTTACCGGGTTATACGTTTTACCTGTAATTGCAGAATTTTGCCGCATGGGTCGTATTAGCCTTTTTGGAACCTTAACGGAAATCAGTTTTAATGCTCCGATGCGCTGTTGAACAAGTTCCATCATAGCGGAAATGCATTAGGGAAAAAAATTCGCTGTACCCTAAAAGTGAGGAACAATTATTTGCCCCGAACAATCTCCTGCTGCAGCCGAGAAGTAAACTCCTGACCATCGCCGCGCGCGTCGGCGGAAGTCGTGTAGAAGAGTGACATTCGCGCCATGTGACACTATAAGCAGCAAACCAAAGCCATAATCATAGAGAAAAACCTGCAAATGGGTAAGATAACACCAAATAGATCACCATCACCACTGGGCAATCAACCAACCCAGTCGCCACGCAGCCGCACGCGACTGCAGGTCCTACTCATGGTGAAACGAGTGGAATTTACCAAAACACGCTAAAATCTCTGCAACACACTACACCACACACATTGAACGCGTCAAAATGTTTCTTTAGAAAGAATTTATAAGTTTTCAATGATGGACGGTTTCAACAACTTTGATGCGGCGGTGCGCAGCGGTCACTCTTTAGTCAAATAATCGAATGCAAAAGATATCGATATATGCTACAGTGCGTTTCAAAAGTATGTGCACACCCTCAAAATTCACGTTTGAAAGGGAACCATGAGGTTTCGTGCTATGAAATCCTTCTCAATCGATTTCTCGTAGTCGATAACCTATCAATGGAAGCAAAGCAGATAATATCGCCTCACTTTCGGAAAAAATTTTTGGATGAAATTTTTTTCTTTGTTTCAAAAGTATGTGCACACTTGAAGAAGATCAGATTTTGGCGCCGAATTTTCCACCGATTTCAATCCGACTTTGCTGTTTTCATTTCGTCATCATGTCAATTCGCGCCATACTTCTTCCTGAAGATGAGCAAGCTCAGATCAAGGTTCTGCATGATAATGAACGTTCCAATCTAGAAATCGCACGATAACTTGGTCGTTCTCCTTAATGCATTCGAAGATTTATCTGGCACCCTGATAATTATACTCAGCACACACTCCGCTCCATCCACGATCCTTGACTGCTCAGAACAACAAAAGAGTAGCCCACATCCTGTCGGATTCTTCATTGACAGTCCGAGCTCAGATTTTTATTCCAGCCTCGAAAATGACCACTAAGCCCTCATCCGCTCAAATGAATACACCACTCGACAGACGCTGAGAAAGGCTACTCACTTCAAGGCCCAGCACAAGTTAGCCACATTGGAGTCTGCTCGTACAGACACGGCAACATAGGATAGGACACCGGGCGAAGACACGGTTTTTCGAGAATTTCCTATTTTCAAAACAAGCAACTTTTATGAACTTTCTCTCCTCAGGTAATCTTAACTCATGGAAAGAGTTCGATCTTGACGGGCCGGGTGGATTTTGCTACTACTGGAGAGGCTTGGCCGAGTCGCTTCTGCTCTCGAGAAGGAATTTCGGAAGAGGCCCGTTGATGGGTCTGCGGCGGTTTCGCAATCAGCGGAAATTCAGAAGTTGCCGTTCCATTATTGCGTATGAACTGTAAAGAATACCAAGCAGTGCTCCAATGTCACCTGTTGCCCTTCCTTAGCGAAGCGGAGCGAAAATTGCATTTTTAGCAACAGGACCACGTGTCTTTCGATGCTTCGCAATCTACCAAAGAATGGCCTTAACCAAATGGTGCTGAAGCGATAGATTGGCTTGTGTGTCCTCCTTACTGCAACCCTATAGGGAGCCCTTGATCAAGGCGTTAACTTTAGCAACCGGCAGTATAATACCGCGGATGAACTGAAGGCGGCGGTAGAGGCTATTTGGGCCGACAGCGACGAAACAGCTATGCCAAACGTGGTTCAGATTATGCCGGACAGGATGTTTGAGCTAATTAGAAACTCTGGAGGCCCCACTGATTTCTAATCTCAGCTATGTTTTTGTCTTTTGTTAAGTGTGCACATACTTTTGAAACAAAGAAAAAAATTTCATCTATTTTTTCATGCCAAAATATTTTTTTCGAAGGTGAGGGGCGATATTACCTGCGTGGTGCGTGTGGAGGTGGTTGGGATAGGTTATTCGACTACGACGAAATCCGATTGAGGATAACGATGTTTCAGAGGGCACGAGCCGGCTCCATGGTTGCCGTTTCAACGCGGATTTCGAGGCTGTGCACATACTTTTTGAATCACGCTATTATTGAAAGTTTTATAAATAGCAGCTTCCATTCATAAAGGGATGCGTTTCAGCCTGGATGTTCATGGTCGACGCTTCCTACCATCGTTCCCTTTCGTTAGTACTAGATCAAACACTGCTAGGAAGCGCCGACTATAAACAACCGCTTTCGTGCGTTCGCTTCGCAAGCGTGCGCAATTTCCAAAAGCTGACAGCCAGAAATGCCTAATTGATCGCAGCTGCTCACTAATCGATATTTTGTAATTTGCGCGCGATTTTTGAACAAAAAAAAACTCTTATTTACCTGTGCGTCCACCCATGACTCTCCAACCCTGTAGTGACGATTTTCCTCTCCAATGCAAGCAACGAAACGGAACTGTAAGTAGCCGTCCGGTCCTGAAGAAGGTTCTTTTCAGTGAGTTTGGTTTTTTCCTTGATCAACTTATGACAGTAGCCTTCTACTACGATTGGCTGTGTCCAAGCAATATTGATAGCGTTCACGGAAGCGATCATTACGCTAATAAAATCACAAAAACGCTTCCTTCTCTACGTCTACTCTACTGCTCGCATTCAATCATCTACAATAACCGAGAAAAGAGAGCGTGAACCGGTTCGAATGATAGCGAATTAATGTAATAAAGAAGCAATATATCGAGTAACGATTACGGAAATTGGCTGTTTCTTAGCAGAGAATAATGAAGAGTGCTTAACGTTGATGTCTTGACGTGGCGTATACGCCATGCTTCTGAGCTCAAGCTGAATTCGCGGCATCGAATAATTGCCGTGGGTCGACATTACTCCAGGGAAATTGCGGTTCCAAGAGTAAACGCGATGCCTGGGTGCGGAGGCGGTCATGGATCGCCATTGGTGGAAGGGCGTTGGGAGGCAACACTAAGCACGCACACCACTCCAGCAGGCAGGAAGGGTTTTGCCCACCAATGACGTCATCAAATCCACGTCTGGCCCTCGGACGAATCCCCTTCTCTCATCTGGGATAAACTTCCGCTTACTCGTCCTAGGACCTCTGACCGAAGTCTGATCTAGACCTCGAATTCCCTCTTGAACGCTACCTTGCTCGCCAAGAACACCTGTTGACTTGGGAGCACAGGGAATTGGGGGGGGGGCATTCATAACTGCTGTAAAAGCAAAATTAAATTTATGAAACTTTTCCTAGCTTTCTCAAACCTTTTGTCAAATCCCGAAAAAGTCTTAACCATCTCAACTAAGAAAAAGGAACATCAATTCACGAAATAAAATCCCTTTTAAAAATTCACACGTTCAAAGCCATCAAATTTCGCCCAATAAGCCAGAACCCTGTTTTTTTTTAACACTAAAATTTCATATAGAGAGCCTTTAGGAAAGAGCCAATGCTCAGGTTTTGGGTTCAAACCCTTTCGGCTCCTGGCGATGGCAATTACCACCACCAAACTTCAGAGGTATGCATTACCAGCATGACCAGATATTTCTACTACTGACTGCTAGAGCTCACTTCAGACAACCTTACCCTTCCTAATTTTGTTTTGCACCCGCCATTCTGCTCGTGCAGGGAAAAATAAGAGCGCTAGAGGAAAAAAAGCTGCAGCGGGCTTTTTTCGCACTAAAAATAAATCAGGGCTAAAAAAGCTGATGCAAGACGGTATCTTCACCTTATCCTCCCATCGTCTTCCCATCTGCTCAATAAATTAAATGGGAAGGTTAGGAAGACTTCTTGTACCCGAAAATGTCCGTCAAATAACTTCTTAGATGTGCCTTGAAAAGTGGCGGCGGCCAGATAACATCGGAACACTCCTCTTTTTCGTGCGGTCCTTGAGAAATCGTTTCATGGTCTTTCTTGGAGAAAGTGTCTGAAGGTCAATTCTGGGATGAACGAAGAAATCAGTTTTTACATTTACATCAACCGAGGACAGTTTCGCTGCGGGAAAAAAGTGCAATTGTCTGGATGAGCACACAGCCACAGAAAAAAAAGAAAAAATCACTCCAAGCCAGGGTCAACCTTTGCGTTAGAAAAGTACTGGGGTTAGTAGGGCAAGTCCTACTCAGGTGCGGCAGCCTGGTGCATGTTCACTGCAGACATCACAACCCAAGTGACGATAGCGAACACGGTGTTTTGGCTGACAATGAAAAGGAAAAGAATAGGTTCTAGGAAA